CGCGCGCTCGCTCTCAGCCGTGCGGGAGAGCAGAAATGTCAAAATTTGCCAGAAAGCGTTGCCATATGCTGTGAAAACAAAAGATTTCAATGCAGAAACAAACTTCGATTAGTCAGAAACAAGTTTATCGATTGTAGCCTCCTCAACTACGGAAAATATGCCATTTCTTTAAAATTCTTTTTAAATAAAACATGGATAGGATCTTAGTAAAAATCATTGTTTTATTGAAAATTCAAATTATATTAAACTAAATATGAACATTTTTTTTAAAGTACCTTAGTAAAAGAATTATATTTGCATCATGTTTTTCTTCGATTTCTCTGTATTAAATAAGGGTAATGTTTTGTGTGGTATGCAATAATAATAGCCCTTGGTTTATAAGTATTTTCCATACATTAGATTCGCGTTCGTGTATAATTTTATCTACCGTTTCAGAAATCAGTAGTACATTCAATAGAAAATAATTATATGTGCTTAAGGAGTTATTCGGCTTCCGATTGCTGCAGTGTCATAAATTCTCAACAAAAAAGTACACTAACAACTGGGTTTTAAAAACTTAAATATTTCCATATATAAATATTTTTCCATATTATATCACGGCCCATAATATCCCGTGGCATGAACTGTCTGAAGAAGAGCCCGGAAAGGTAACGGTAAAGATTTTTCGGGGCATGAAAGGTAGCTAAATAACTGCTAAAGTATGCAGACATCACACTATAATATGAAATTACCTTAAAAAAACTCTGTAGACTATGGAAATCAATCCTAGACAAACCTCAAAGAGTGATACAAACAGCATATCCAAAGTCTAGCTACTAGGGTCAACATGATTTGCTGAAAAATTTACATCGATGGCTGAGTGGAAGATCGACCTATCTCGGCAGTCAGTTCGAAAACGCCCTATCTCAGAAAATTTTTCGACAACGCTCTATCTCAGAAAGCTTTTCAAGAATGCCCTACTTCAGAATTTGATTGAAAAACTCTCTACCCCAGAATTCGTTGAAGAACACCCTATCTTAGCTGCCGATTCAAAAACGCCTTATCTCAGCTTATTTTCAATATAGTTTCGTTTGAGATAGGGCTTTTTTGAACCGAATTCTGAGATAGGGCGTTATTCAACCACATTCTGAGATAGGGTATTTTTCAATAAAATTCTGAAATAGGGCGTTTTTCAATCAAATTCTGAATTAGGGCGTTTGTGAATAGTTTTCTGAGATAGGGCGTTTTCGAACTGGCTGCCGAGATAGGTCGATCTTCCACTCAGCCATCGATATCCAGAAGTAGAAACATTCCCTATGCATCAGATTGATTTATTTTTCGGACAATACAACCGAAGATATTTGGAGCCAGAAAATCGATGTTATTCACACAATGCAAACAACAAAATCGTTATTCAAGAAAGGAAAACTCCATTTTTTGAGTGTCTAGTTTAAAATCCCATGGGTATTTTGTACTATCTACTCTTAACAAGATTTCATGCCACGAAAATTCTTTCCCGTTATCTTACCGAGCTCGAGATATTATTGGGCCGTGATTTACATATTAAGTCTTTATAACCCAGTTGTTAGTGAACTTTTTTGTTTGGAATTTATGACACTGCAGCAATCGGAAGCCGAATAGTTCCTCATGCACATATAATTATTTTCTATTGAATGTACTACTGATTGCTGAGACGGAAGATAAAATTATACACGAATGCCATCCTAATGTATGGAAAATACTCATAAACCAAGGGCTATATGAGCCTTATTTAATACAGAGAAATCGAAAAAAAAAACAAAATGCACATATAATTATTTTACTAAGGTAGAATATTTGTAATCATTACCGAACTAAGTAAAATAATGGCATTGAGTATGTTCAGAAACGCATCAAAGGCAAAGCATCAGCGCATTGTATTTCTAAGCAATAATTGATGGAAATATCCGAATTAAAACTTGGTTGTGTAAATAAGGCATTTCCATCAATTTAGTTTAGATATAAAAGATACTGATGCGTTTCCGAACACACCCATTATTAATGAAAATCAGATTTCTTACTTGCATTTTTGGAAACAGAAGTCCAAATGTATTTATATAAATGCATTTCTACAATTAGGTTTGAAGAAAAAAAATAAAAATTTCTTGTTTTTGTTTTAACATCTTAATAGGTACGTTTGTATGTGCATTGCAAATCATATTTCCCTATGATCATCTGATATCACAACGCCAGCATTCATTTTCCATTATGATTAAATTTCATTTAAAGCTTTGTAAAATCTAAATTTAAAAAATACGCTCTAAATCGTTAACTGAAGCTTCCTTATCAACATAAATGTACCGTACAAAAGTCAATCCTTACATATGTACATATGTATGTACATATTTTATTTTACTTGATTTTTCGATGATTCAGTTTGGTCATATGCGTCAGCAGCCCCGCGGTGGAGTTGAACCTCTTTCTACAAACATCACACCTCAATAACTCTATTGTGTGCTCCTCAGCCATATGAGCGATTCGTCGCGCATACCGTTCAAATACCTTATCGCAGTAATTACATCGGTATTCTCTGTCATATGAAGTCTCTTTAAAATGCTCCACGCGAATGTGTTTCGCCACAACATCTAAGCTATATGCACTGTGATTTTTGCACAGCTTGCAGTGGAAAGGCTTGTTTGGCTCATGTCGCAGTGAGTGAAATTTAGTTTGTTTCGATCGAAATGTAGCTGCGCATGTTTTGCATTCAACTAAATTATCCCTAATCGTAGTGACTTTTTCCGGTAGTTTTTGATACCAATCATGTGCCTCGTCCAAGTGTTCCGTCCAGTCTCCCAGGTTTTTAGATTTTTTTTTGCAAATCGGGCATATGAATCGCATATGACATCTTATCGCTTCAGTGCGTCGTAGTTTCTGTAAAGCAACCTTGCTATGCTTTTTCTTGAAATGTTTTAAAAATAAGTTTCGGCTTGAAAATCTCTCCTCGCACAAACGGCAACGTAAAAATTCCGGAATCGTCATGTGTCGAATGCGATGACTTAGCAAGAAGTTATATGCAGTATCAGAAGTAAATTTCTTTTCGCACGAATTACATTGATAGCTCAGCACACCTTGTCGACTTATAACGGTTTTCAAATTAAGTTTCGAAATAGAACGAAAATTATGTACAATATCGGTGTGGGCATTCCATTTTTTTATATTGTCGCATGATACGCCGCACTGCGGGCATAGGTAAACGAGAAAAGCTTCTAAATTGTATGTATTACTTTTAACCTTGCTACCACTGGATGTCGATGGTTGATTATTATCATCTGAATCCAATTCCAAAAGATCGATACATTTTTTTTCTTTCTCTTCCTCATCAGATAAGCCTGATTTATTTTCATCATTATTCTCTTCTGCACCATTTTCAATATAGAGCTGATCCTCATCGTCATCATCCAAAACAATAATATTATTTGAAAACACCGCCGTAGTTTGTTTTTGCGTTATTGATTCTCTGTAGTTTAAGTGGGCGATTGCATCGGCATCGTTGTTCAAAACAGCGCGGTCCGAAAAATTATTGACTACGCCATTGCTAAGGTGCGTTGGCAATTGTTCGCCACTATTTAATATCTGGGATTCAAGTGTGTTCTCTTCATTGCATGGCTCTAACTTAACTTCTTCCTGGAAAGGTTCCAAATTTGTAGAGATTTCCCCAAATATCTCACAATCAGATCCGTCGTCATTATCAGTAGCATTTTCAGAATCACTTAGAAGCTCGATTATTTCTTCTTGACTATACGTTATTGGCTCTATTTTGGGTGTTTCATATACTTGATCGGCTACGGCTTTCAGCGCTCTACCGACTGCAAACATTTGTTCGTCATCGAACGCAACAACCTGCACATCGTTAGATTCCATCGCACATGTCTTGCGGGGTCTCACGTTTTAATTATCCTCAGGTGGCAGACGTGAGTGTTGCTTCCGCACCGGTTTCTAATTTGGACAAAGAAGTTTCATATTTAAAAAAAAAAATAGACTTAGCTATGCTTCCACTTACCACCCAGGTTATTATATCTGTTTACAATAAAAATAAACTCTGGATAATAAAAATTAAAACAATTTTCCGACGCTTTAACAATTTGATTAATTAACTGCGGCGGACAGCTGATTTCGACAGCAGTTGGTGTGTTAAAAACATCGATGCATAGAAAATATCGATATTATGCTGGAATACTTCGAATAAAACCGATACATTGGACCGCTCCGATAAATTTATATATCTATGCATCGATGTATTTATTTTGGGTCCGTTGAATTTTATGCTTAAAGCTTTACCAGTTTCCCACGCCATCCTGAATTACTTTGTTCGCTCCCCCAATTACGATCGCAAATTACCCTATTCCCACGAGCACAGTCTTAATTCAAATTGGCAGTTCTCTGACTCGTCCATTTTGTTTGTGTTTTTCTTCATTGCAAAATTGAAGCAAAATGTAGGTTCTTCCTAAAAATTTATAAGTTTCCGTATTAAATTAGGGATATATACATTTATAAACTTTGCTTTTCATACTGAGAAAAAATGCAAGTTTTTATTTTAGCTTGTTCGATAAATTCCCGAAAAAAAATTAGAAACGGCACCGATTTATTTGTAATTCACATGGTAATTGGATCTGAATTACCAACAAGTAAGGTAATTCGTTCTTCAAAATTTTGTATCGGGAATTACGTAATTCGAAGAGTAGTTGGAGTGCGAATTACGGAATGAGAGAGCGAATAACGTAATTGAGGTGCTGTGAGAAAGCCGTTTTAGTATCCAGTTCTAAAAAAAACCAAAACCCCACTTAAATCATGGTGGCACAGAGAAGAAACTTTACTTTTCCTTGAATTGTGGGAATAACAAGCACATCAAATTTGACGGCTAGAAATCTGCGAAGTGCCTTTGTGTACGGGGTAATTAACAAACTAGCTATGATGGAAATTTTTTGTATATGTTAACATACTTTTAGTAAATACAATCTCATGACGATGTTGTATAAATTTCATTCGATACATCGATGTACATTCGATGCCCAAAAACATCGATGTATTTTTGTTACTTGTATATCTAGTTAGGGTATAAGCTTTTATTCACAATAGTAGATCTGGTATACACTCGATAGTACCGCCATTCGATAGTTTTCGAAACGATAGTTAAAAACATCGATAGTATCGATTGTACTATCGTCGTGGAAGGTATTGAATTGAAACGCTCAATTGCTTGGAAATTAAATAATTAATATATTTATAAAATTTATAAATTTCTTTGTAAATTTAAGAGATTGTATATATATATTTTTTTTAAATTTGAGTGCATTAAAAAGAACTGCTTATAAATATAAAATAAACTTTTTAATTTATGCGTCTGAATTATATAACTTATATAC